CAGCCGGCGGCGGCTCGCCGACACCGAGGCCGAAGGTGCGGCGGCACAGCGGACCAGGGAGGCCCAGCTCGCCGTCTGGCTCGGCATCCTCGTCGAGCTCATCGATCACGCCGACGTCGCAAAGTGGCACCGCGCCTCGTCGGGCACGTGGCAGACCACCCTCCTTGCCATCGTCGACGTCGCCCTGCCCCCGCCGACGTCCCCGTCCTCGGTCCGTACCGCTGCCGGCGCGGCGAGCCCCGCCGCCGAGGGCGCCGCCGCCGCCACGCACGAGGCAGGGGACCATCGTCGACTCTTGGAGCGCACCGCCGCCGCTCTGCGCGAAAAGGTCGCCCGGGCGGCACACGCCGCGACACTGACGAGCGCGGCTGACACCGCAGCGGCCACGACGATTTTGTAGCGCCGCAGTGGGTAGTTTGTAGACTTGCAGCATGCCGTTGGAATCGCACGCACGCTGTGGGCATCAGATGACGTGCGACGGTAGTCGCGGCTGTCTTGACGCACTGTCCAGGCACCGTAGTGTCGTCTTGCCCTGCCCCGCCGCGCACCCGCACCGAGATGCACAGCCGTGTCAGGGCTGTCTGGTGCCTGTCTGCTTGACATCAAGTTTGCTGTTTGTGCAGATGCAAAAAATTAGCAGCACTGCACCTGTATCTGTCACTCTTCATCAAGCTCAATGCCAGTCTCTTCAGTTTCCAGCTTGGGCCCCACATGCCTCTGTTGGTGCTTGCAGGTGGGGCAGTAGCTGACCAAGGCTGGCTGCAGGCTGGAGGACCTGCCAAAGCTTATGTATAATGCACTTCCATCATCAGCAGGCATGGGTAGTTTCAGAGGGATAGCCACAGCCAACAAGACTTTGTCTGCTTGCATCAGCAGCATGGCCAAGTATATTTTCAGAGGAACAGGTGCAGGCCAGAAGCCATTGCCTAGATGCAACTACTCAATGCCAATGACCAGCATGCTCCAGTGCAATAGCAGGCTAGATTAGCCTGTAGCAGTGCACCAGCAGGCTTGACTTGATGTCTAGAGGCTGCTGTCAAGACCCCTCTGTGTGCAGTGTCTGCAGCCTGAGCTTTATCGACCTTGTGCTGGACTCTTTGTCCTGCAATGCCTTGTTGTGGATGTGAGGTTTGTTGTACATTGCTCTTCAAGCATGTTATCTTGCTCCTCAATGCCATGAAGGGGCCCAGCCTTGACACCTACCCAACTGACACCACTACCAAGGTGTCTGAGGCAATGGCACAGACAAACTGACCACTTATGGACCCTGTTCAATGTGTTGGCATTGCAACATGGCATTGAACAGCCAGGTCAACAGAGGAGAGCACAAGGCTATGATGGTCAAGTTCATGATGCTCATGCCTAATGGCTGCAATCAAATTGTTCATCACCTAGTGCAAGGACAAGCAAGTAGGGGAGTTCATCATGGCTGCTGACATTGATGGAGACCAAGAGTTGGCAGCACACCCAATCTGTACATCAACACATGTATCATGGCAACAAAAAGCCAAAACCTGCTATCACATGCTTGTGGCAGGCAGGGCTCTTTGGGGCACTCAAGACCATGTGCAGCTCTGTCATGGCCTACTGTTGCTACAATTGTGGCAACAACAATTGTAGCAACAACAAGCGATACTGCCCTGCCAAGCTTTGCAAGCTCCCTGAGGAAGGAATTGAAGGGCTTGCTTGCTTCTTGACCAAAGCACACCATGAGCACTGGGCCGTCCTTGAGCGACACTTGGACAAGGCACATTTCCCACTGCAGACCACTAATAGCCTCAACAGCCGCAACATGTGCATCTATGAAGAGCTCAACGTCCACACAATGGCAAAAGCCATCCTCTTCCACCCTGCAATCAGCTTCTTCAAGTCCGTGTGCAGACTCAGCCCCTCCACAACGCTGACAGTGCATCACTACAACAGCACCTGTAGTCTCCCCAAAGAGATCCTGCTTGCCTTTGATCCGCACGCAATGTATGGCCGATGCGACAGTGCTCTGTCCACCAAGCTTGATGGCAGGCCACATGAGGTGATGACGGTCAAGTACAAGACTTCACATGCATGTTCCTTGTTGGCCTTAGGGTTAGGGTTCCATCTACAAGGCAGAATGTGGATTGGGACATGTTGCCTTCCTGGATTCTGTTAAGCCCTTGGGGTCTTGGGATACTGCGGGCGGCCGAGGACGGTGTAGGGCTTGCGCGGAGAGGTCAGGGATGAGGAGGAGTAGGGATATTGATGCTGTACCAGTCTCTAGTGGTAAGAGGATATAGTACATTCGACAAGGAGACCATCAGGGGCCTCCTTGGGAACCTAGGGACTTTATACTGGCCCCCTCAAGATCCCCTCATGGCCAAGGGACCGGCTGTGGCAATTGCCGCTCGGCTCCGCCGTCCGTCAGCCCTTCCTTGGGACTCGGGCACCTGCGGGGCATGTTGGGCAGCCGCCTAACAGATTCAAACTTGCAAGACAGACAACTACTGCCAGGAAGATGGGCGACTACAAATCAGAAGACAGGCTGCTGCAACCAGGAAGACTGGTAATTGCAGACAGGAAGATGGGCAATTACAAGCAGGAAGATGGGTGCCTACAGCTCAGAAGATGGGTGAATACAATT